ACAGGGTCACTGTTTATGCAGCAGGGTAAGGATTACTGACTGTGTGACTGTACAGGGTCACTGTTTATGCAGCAGGGTAAGGATTACTGACTGTGTGACTGTACGGGGTCACTGTTTATGCAGCAGGATGAGGATTACTGACTGTGTGACAGGGTCACTGTTTATGCAGCAGGGTGAGGATTGCTGACTGTCTCTCCCTCCAGGGGCCTTGTGCTGGAGTTTCACTCTCTCCTGGAGAATTTTGCACACCAACACTCGCAGGGACACTTGGTGTTACTCATTGACAGTGCCGACTGCATCCAGACCCGAAATAACCAGCGAACGTCGGACTGGATCCCTGAGACAGTGCCACGTGTGAGGATCCGTGAGATGTGATTCCAAATCCAAACCCATCCGCCTGCCTCCCTGACGCTCTGTCTGTTCCCCTCTCCATACCGCACTCTCCTCTTCGGTGCCGCTCACTCTCCTTGCTCTGTCTCCCGCGCCCCTCTTTCGCTCTGTCTCTCTCATTCTCTGTCTCTCTCTCTCTCTCTTTGCCTCCCCCTCTCCCCCTCTGTGCCCCTCTCTATGTATCTCTCTCTCTCTTTCTCTTTCTTTCTCTCTCTCTCTCTCTCTCTCTGTCTCTCCATCTCTGTCCATTTGCCCCTCTGCTTCTGTCTCACAGTCTGCGTGTCTGTGCGTGTGTGAGAAAGCCCTCCAAACCCGACTGTCTCCAAGCCGGTTCTCTGAGCACCTCCCCTCCCAACATCCTGTCTCCTCTTCTCCATCCCAGAGGGTGACGTTGGTGCTGAGCGTTACGGAGGACTCCCCACTGCACCAGGCCTTGGCCAAGCGCAAGGGGATGGTGCCTGTCCACCTCGGGCCCCTGGAGCCTCTGGATCGCTCAGAGATCGTCCGCCGCTACCTGGCCATCTTTGGGAAGAAGCTGGAGGAATCGGCCTTCAACAACCAGGTGAGGGTTGGGCCCTGGGGAACCTGTTGGCGTTTCGCTCTGTTCGTTGCAAATCTCATCGCTTACAAGCCCCTGTGCACGCTCTCGCACGCGGACGTGTACAGGACGGAAAAGAAAACGTGGGTGCTGTGGAGGGAGGGAAAGCAGTTCTTTTCCTAGGAGCACTGAGATTCCCACGCTGGTCAGAACACTCCTCCTTCACGCTTTCACCGGTTTGCGAAGAGCGCAGGGTGGCTGGCGAACTGAGTGGCTTTTACTGTGGAGAAGGGAGAGACCACTCCGGAGCTGGCAGAATGGCTTCTTGTTCACCACCCCAGCTGCCCGCGAGCCTGGCACAACCTTTCTGGCAAATAATCCGGTACCCTTCACCCACTGAAGCTCCGTAGGTCAGTGACCGCGCGGTGCCAGTCCGTCTGCGAGCTACGCTTGAACCGTTGCTCAAAGCTGCGGATGTACTTTGCCATCCGGATCCATTCTTCTCGTACTACGCTCTGCCTCGCCCCAAAGTATTCCCCACCCCCTCACCCTGAGGTCCTTTGACGGTCTTACCCTCGTCTCATTACTGCCTCCCTTCTGTTTGGAGGAGGAATCGCAGTGGACTTGAGGCATTAATGCTGTCTCCCCTCCTCGTGCTGGCCCCGACGGTTTGGGGGGGTGGAGGGGGAATTGCTAAACAGGTTCCTTGTCCAAATTCTTGACGACAGGAAAGATCCCGCCACCGCTTTTCCGTGAGGAGTGGGGTAGGGAGGAGAGCGGCGGGTGCGGGGAATATGCCTGGAGAGAATAATCAATCGGATGACCTTCGGAGGAAGGTGTGGGGGTGGGGGGGGGGTGGGGGGGGGGGGCGCGGGATTCCACAAGGATCCTGTCCTTACAGGGATAGCTATTGTGCGGGATCTTCCTGTGCGCGGATCTCCTCCCAAGATTGCGGGGCGATGAGGGAATGAAGGGACTGTTTTCTCTCTTCCTTCCTCCTCCCCTGCAACCCCGCCCCCCCAACCCCCCCCA